ACAAGCCAAACATGACTCTTGGCGTTGTGGTTCTTAACGAAAAGTTTAAAAAAATGAATTTGATGGATGGTGAAGGGAATAGGAGAAGTCAAAGATTGAAAACATAATAAATGAGAGGCTGCTGTATGTATACCACTACAATGGAACTGTCGTGATTATAACTGATGCGGCGTTACATTATACCTTTAATTAACTGAAATAAAATGTCACAGCATTGGTTTATGAAATTCTTTAGTCTACATTAAGGACATATATATTCGAGAACTCTCAGAGGGTTGATTTAATTATTGGTGATTACTAATGATATATGAACTTCAGTAGGTGATAAAACTGTCCAAGGTTCACTACGTACGGTTACATTCAGTACTACAAGTAGGCGAGTCAGCAGAATTTTTTTCTTGAATAAAACAGAATGTGTCAGTCCAATATCAATTCAGCAATGAGTTGTACAAGGCCAACACCAGGTGTTACATCTCTGTATAAATATACATATCCTACACTGAATGTTAAAATCATTCAGACATCACAGCGAGACACTCAAAACCAATCAAGTATGAAGCTTTTGTACCGTAATTTACCTTTGATAAACCCACTATGCCTGGTGATAAGCCCACCCCTGTTGTTACTATAGTAAAACCTGTCTAATACGACCCCTGGGCATTCTGACATCTTGTCAAATTTGACATACAGAAGCCAGTTACCTATGAATTCCATATCTTAACACTAAATAAAACTTGTGTAATCTGACACCCTGTCTCATCCAGACAATATGTTGGATATCACAGTGTGTCAGATTAGAAAAGTATATGTCTTCATAGGAATAATCAAATTTTATGCATAATGAGACAGTTGAAGTGGTTTAAGGCCATCCAGTATAAATAATTTCTGAGCAATTGAATGCATTTAAAGGTTTTATTTCAGATAAAATGAAAGGTTTATCCAAATATTTTGTGAGTTACTAGAATAGTAGATTTTAATACATTTGTCTTGACCCCATCATTCTAAACCTATTTGCTGAACATGATAATTTGTTCTAGTATAAATTCAAAAAGACTGAAATAAATATCAATATGATAGATGTCAATTTCATTATTATCAATAAGGTAGTAAACCTGAAACCATCTGTCAACACTTTATATGAGCTGAGCCAAGGCAATCAAATTTGTATCCTACTTTAAATATCAACCACTTGAGGTAGTCTAATATTGTAACATATCAATTTAGTTCTGAAGTACAATTTTCATCATTTTGTCTAGGACAAGCATACTGAATTGCTGTGTCAACACATGTGAACTATACAGGTCTCCCAGTTGTATCAGTAAATAATAATCAGAGCCATGCATGCATCTCACCTAACTTCAGCATACTCCGTTTGTAATGCAGTCACATCAGAGCAGCGACGTCAATTTCCAGGATTGACATCAATCAACTAAATCCTCTTTTCATTCCCCATAGGGTGACTATTGATCAGGGCTCAGAAGTTCAATGGCTGATCAGCTTTATAAGTCGATAACGGAAATGTTCAAAAAGCAATTAAAAAAAAAGTACCGAAAAATTTACAAAAACTTAAAAAAAAAATGTATATTTTTCTTGTTTTTAGATAGTTATTTTGAATATCTGTAATGTAATTTGAATTTTAAATGGCATCATTTTGGAAATAAAGAAGATCTAACCTTTGATGAGTTGTTGTCAAGCTGATTAATCAGGCTAGGAAAAGCTAGGGTTCAGGTGCTGTTTAATCTGTTTATACTTAAATATTCTGTGTTTCTTTTCCAAGTTATGGTGGTGAGGTAAAGTGAAATTGCTGATATCAGCATCACCTAGACCTTCATGTCATTTATTGTTACAGGCCCTGACACTGTACATATACCTCTCCAAAAACTCATACAGGCCCTGACACTGTACATATACTTCTACAACAACTCATACAGGCCCTGACACTGTACATATACCTCAAAAACATCTCACACAGGCCCTGCTACTGTACATATACCTCTACAACAACTCATACAGGCCCTGGCACTGTACATATACCTCTACAACAACTCACACAGGCCTAGCTGATTGCTGTACATATACCTCTCCAACAGCTCATACAGGCCCTTTCACTGTACATATAACTCTACAACAACTCATACAGGCCCTGGCACTGTACATATACCTCTACAACAACTCATACAGATACTCCAGTTTCCTCCTACATTAATATCAGAACTCCCCCCAACCCAACCCTGTGTGCTACTGTCGATGCCAACAAAAGTAATTACTATGAGTTGATATGTTTTCATCAATCTTAAAAAATCAATAAAGTTCAATTTAACATACATGTATATCATCATACTTCATCTTTATAAAAGCATTTCTGATTGGATGACACTGCTATGTTGAAGATTTCCAAAACCTACACAAACACTTCTCTTAGTAACACATGAAGGACCTATGACTGTATACCAATACCTCTTCCTGTAACTCACAGTCCTGGCCCTAACACTGTGTATGAATACATCTTCATGTAACTCACAGTCCTGGCCCTAACACTGTACATGTATTTCTCTCTGTGTGACATACACAGGCCTTAACACTGTATATGGATACCTCTTCTTGTAACTCACAGTACTGGCCCTTACACTGTATACAAATGTTTCTTTCTGCAACTCACAGTACTAGCCCTAACACTGTTTATGGATCCATCTTCCTGCAACTCACAGCACTGGCCCTAACACTGTATATGGATACCTCTTCCTGCAACTCACAGCACTGGCCCTAACACTGTATACAAATGTTTCTTTCTGCAACTCACAGTACTAGCCCTAACACTGTTTATGGATCCATCTTCCTGTAACTCACAGCACTGGCCCTAACACTGTATATGAATACCTCTTCCTGCAACTCACGGTACTGGCCCGAACACTGTATATGGATATCTCTCCCTGTAACTCACAGTACTGGCCCTAACACTGTATAAGGATACCTCTTCCTGCAACTCACGGTACTAGCCTTAACACTGTATATCGATATCTCTTCCTGTAACTCACAGTACTGGCCCTAATACTGTATATGGATAACTCTTCCTGCAACTCACGGTACTGGCCCGAACACTGTATATGGATAGCTCTTCCTGTAACTCACAGTACTGGCCCTAACACTGTATATGGATACCTCTTCCTGCAACTCACGGTACTAGCCTGAACACTGTATATGGATATCTCTTCCTGTAACTCACAGTACTGGCCCTAACACTGTATATGGATAACTCTTCCTGCAACTCACAGTACTGGCCCTAACACTGCATGTTCATGGATATCTCTTCCTGTAACTCACAGTACTGGCCCTAACACTGTATATGGATATCTCTTCCTGTAACTCACGGTACTGGCCCTAACACTGTATATGAATACCTCTTCCTGTAACTCACGGTACTGGCCCTAACACTGTTTATGGATATCTCTTCCTGCAACTCACAGTACTGGCCCTAACACTGTATATGAATGCCTTAATCTTCCTGTAACTCACAGTACTGGCCCTAACACTGTATATGGATAACTCTTCCTGCAACTCACGGTACTGGCCCTAACACTGCATGTACATGGATATCTCTTCCTGTAACTCACAGCACTGGCCCTAACACTGTATATGAATGCCTCTTCCTGTAACTTACAGTACTGGCCCTAACACTGTATATGAATACCTCTTCCTGTAACTTACAGTACTGGCCCTAACACTGTATATGAATACCTCTTCCTGTAACTCACAGAACTGGCCCTAACACTGTATATGAATACCTCTTCCTGTAACTCACGGTACTGGCCCTAACATTGCATGTACATGGATACCTCTTCCTGTAACTCACAGAACTGGCCCTAACACTGTATATGAATACCTCTTCCCGTAACTTACAGTACTGGCCCTAACACTGTATATGAATTCCTCTTCCTGTAACTTACAGTACTGGCCCTAACACTGTATATGAATTCCTCTTCCTGTAACTCACAGTACTGGCCCTAACACTGTATATGAATGCCTTAATCTTCCTGTAACTTACAGTACTGGCCCTAACACTGTATATGAATACCTCTTCATGTAACTCACGGTACTGGCCCTAACACTGGATACAAATTCCTCTTCCTGTTACTCACCGTACTGGCACTACCACTGTATATGAATACCTCTTCATGTAACTCACGGTACTGGCCCTAACACTGTTTATGAATACCTCTTCCTGTAACTCACAGTTCTGGCCCTAACACTGTTTATGGATATCTCTTCCTGTAACTCACAGTACTAGCCCTAACACTGTTTATGAATACCTCTTCCTGTAACTCACAGTACTGGCCCTAACACTGTATACAAATGCCTCTTCCTGTTACTCACCGTACTGGCCCTACCACTGTATATGAATAGCTCTTCCTGTAACTCAGAGTCCTTGCTCTGATTAGCTGGACTAATCAACAAAAAGGGCAATCTGGGATTATTCTTTTAAGAAAACTCTTATCTGTTTTTTGCCTGGATCAGTACAATTTATTGATTAGTCTCTCTTATATAATTTGCATAATGGTGTTGTTCTGGAGGGAAAATTTAAACAATTGAAAACCGAGGACTTCGCTGATAGAATGCAGCAGCTGTCGCTGAATAAATAACACTTTTATCGATATAGTTGAGGTAGGTGTTGTGTCATAGCAGATTTTTGTGGTAAGTACTTCAAAACTCTACCAAACGGTGCTGAAGAGTTCCACGTTACTATTATGCGCTTTGGCGCCACACCAGACATCCTTCTGTCAAAATGGCAGGGGACAGAGAAAACTCCGGCATGGCCTAGATATGATACATGTTTTTCTCTGTGTGACATACACATGGCCCAATACTGTATATAAAGAGCTCTTCCTGTATCTCAAGGGTGCTGGCCCAAACAGTGGACATGTATCTCTCTCTGTGACACATAAAGGCCCTGACACTGTACATGTTAACTTGTAGGCCCCTATGCAGCTACTCTGTACACCTACCTCTTCTTGTTGGCTGAACAGCGTGAGACAATGACTCAGGAAGCTTGCTGTGTCTCGAGATAAGTCCGATATTCTTTTCACCTTCTGATAAACATCTGCCATGGTACCTGTAAAGAAAATAAAATGATTTTTTTTTTAATTTCATTTCAAAATAATAAAGTTTTATTCATTGATTAAAATTATACACTATCTAATGTTTTTTCAGAGGAAATCATTAGACCTTAGAACATAAAGGAATAGTTTAGTGAATTCACTAGTTGGAAATACAACATTTCAGGGTCGGAAATCAGGATCAAGTCACCCTCCTTAAAATAGGGAAAGTTTCCTCCAAATAAAGCAGGATGAAAGCATTATGATGTCTATTACGACCTATAGTTGATTTTGCCTGAAAAGTGAGATTTTAAACACAGCTTTTCTGTGCACATGCAGAACCTTGAATATCTCCAATTATAAAATAATAAACACATACATGTATACATGTACTTCTGAAGTAGCATTTGTATTATTCTCTTGCAGTTACCTTGACAATAGACTGTCACTTTGTATTACATATGTAGTTCAGGAATACATGTATTCATTTCCTAATATTCAAACCTATGCACACAAAAAAAATGTGTTCAAAATAACTTTTCTGACAAAATATCAATAAAAAAATAACCGAATGCAAAAAAAAAAAGACAGAACAAAATTTACAAGAAATAAAACAAAAAAACCCATGATATATTAATACACCCAAAACATGATATATAAATACACAAAACATGATATATTGATACACAAAACATGATATATAAATACACAAAACATGATATATTAATACACAAAACATGATATATTGATACACTAAACATGATATATATTAATACACTAAACATGATATAAATACACAAAACATGATATATTGATACACAAAACATAATATATATATACACAAAACATGATATATTGATACACAAAACATGATATATTGCTACACTAAACATGATATATTAATACACAAAACATGATATATTAATACACTAAACATGATATATTAATACAAAATATCTTTTGATATATTCTTTGGATTCCATGTACTATAAAACTTCAAGTACAATTGTACACTCAACATATTCTCACATAAGATTTAAAATTAACAGATGAAGAAGATATTTTCGTGTTTCTGTAGTAAATGCACACAAATAATGGTTGTTGAAAGTTTACTTCTATGTAACCTACCCTCTGTAACTTTGAGTTGTTTGTCAGACTCCTGTGACTCCATCAGAACTGACAACTGGTTCGACTCCTTTTCCAGTAGTTGATGATGCGCTTGTGCTGTCTGTAGAAAACAAAAATATTTTTTTCCTTATACAAATCCCTGTACAATCAGCCCAGATTATTAAGAGACAACCCGTAAAATTGATTTCTTAACAAAGGTGGTCTCTAAATACAGGTGGTCTCTAAACACAGGTGGTCTCTAAACACAGGTGGTTTCTTAACAAAGGTGGTCTCTTAACACAGGTGGTCTCTAAACACAGGTGGTCTCTTAACACAGGTGGTATCTAAACACAAGTGACCTTTTTAAAAGGTTCATTTCACAATGAAATCACTACAAAGGGGAACATTAAAAGTGGTCTCTTAACACAGGTGGTCTTTCAAAAAGGTTTATTTCACAATGAAATCACGACAATGGGAAACATTAAAAGTGGTCTCTTAACACAGGTGGTCTTTCAAAAAGGTTCATTTCACAATGAAATCACTACAATGGGGAACATTAAAAGTGGTCTTTTAACACAGGTAGATTCTTTATAGAGGTGACCCTATATTTAATCAGTTCTGACGGTACATCTAGTTTATATATTGATTGAACATTTACTTTTAATGCTGTGTGCTACACACATATGAATTTATTGTTCAGAATAGAGTTATACAATGCACAATGTTTTCCAGATGTGCATTGTACTTTTGAAATTTTTCAAAATTGTTTTTCAAAAATTGGAAAAAGATGATCCAGCAAATCGTGGATAAGTGATGGTATTTACCTTAAGAGAGTCTTTGAGTGATCCAAGGGAGACAACTTCTCCCTCCGGCTGGTCCTCTCCCTGGTGTATATAGTGAGTACTGAAGTTGATGTGTTCCTTCAATGCATTCAACCATTTCTAAAAGGAAAAGAGGATAAAAAGGTCAAAGGTTAAAATTGTAGATTGAGCCTGTTACTTTCTTACCCATGCTAACTTCACTAATTTACAGGACATAAATTTAGTCCATGCAACAATACAGCATGCATACCTGGTATACGGTAAACAGAGAACGTTTTGCAGACCTTCATAATGAAGTTTACAAACTTTATTTGCAAGGAGTATAATAATCACAAGTTCATTCTGTCATGCACATTAGATGATGTGCTTTCACTGTGCCAAGTTACAGAGAAATCCAACGAACGGTTGAGGAGGAGACGTAGAGCTTACAAACGATTAAGGAGGAGACGTAGGGCTTACAAACGATTAAGGAGGAGACGTAGCGCTTACAAACGGTTGAGGAAGAGACGTAGTGCTTACAAACAGTTAAAGAGGAGACATAGCACTTACAAACAGTTAAAGAGGAGACATAGAGCTTACAAACGGTTGAGGAGGAGACGTAGCCTTACAAACAGTTAAGGAGGAGACATAGCGCTTACAAACAGTTAAAGAGGAGACATAGAGCTTACAAACGGTTAAAGAGGAGACATAGCGCTTACAAACAGTTAAAGAGGAGACATAGAGCTTACAAACGGTTGAGGAGGAGACGTAGCCTTACAAACGGTTGAGGAGGAGACGTAGTGCTTACAAACGATTAAGGAGGAGACGTAGGGCTTACAAACGGTTGAGGAGGAGACGTAGTGCTTACAAACGATTAAGGAGGAGACGTAGCACTTACAAACAGTTGAGGAGGAGACGTAGCACTTACAAACGGTTAAGGAGGAGACGTAGAGCTTACAAACGGTTTAAGAGGAGAGGTAGCGCTTACAAATGGTTGAGGAGGAGACGTAGCGCTTACAAACGGTTGAGGAGGAGACGATGCGCTTACAAACAGTTTAGGAGGAGATGTAGCACTTACAAACAGTTGAGGAGGAGACGTAGCGCTTACAAACGGTTGAGGAGGAGACGTAGCACTTACAAACGGTTGAGGAGGAGACGTAGCGCTTACAAACGGTTGAGGTGGAGAGGTAGCGCTTACAAACAGTTTAAGAGGAGACGTAGCGCTTAAAAACGGTTAAGGAGGAGACGTAGCGCTTACAAACAGTTTAAGAGGAGACGTAGCGCTTACAAACGGTTAAGGAGGAGACGTAGCATTTACAAACGATTGAGGAGGAGACGTAGCACTTACAAATGGTTGAGGAGGAGATGTAGCAGTTACAAACGGTTTAGGAGGAGATGTAGCACTTACAAACGGTTGAGGAAGAGACGTAGCGCTTACAAACGGTTGAGGAGGAGATGTAGCCCTTACAAACGGTTTAGGAGGAGATGTAGCACTTACAAACGGTTGAGGAAGAGACGTAGCGCTTACAAACGGTTGAGGAGGAGACGTAGAGCTTACAAACGGTTTAAGAGGAGACGTAGCGCTTACAAAAGATTGAGGAGGAGTCGTAGAGTTTACAAACGGTTAAGGAGGAGACGTAGCGCTTACAAACGATTGAGGAGGAGACGTAGCTCTTACAAATGGTTAAGGAGGAAATGTAGCCTTACAACAGTTATGAAGGAGAAATGTCGCTTACAAATGGTTAAGGAGGAGACGTAGCGCTTACAAACGGTGAAAAGAACAACATTTAATCTACAAGATACAATCTTTTATATTCTGAATAATAATATTCACTGGCGCTAGAATAGGATTTGAACCCTAGGCCACTTTTGTTATCACGAACCAAACGGTTGGACCGGTTGGACCAGAGTTGTTCTTTTATGAAATAAGGTCTGACCTAGTAATTTAATGCTGGAATCAGGTGAGCTTTTAAAGGCCTGCGTAAATATTTGCAGGTCCGGCAGGATTTATACCCGAAAATGTTACATTTAAAAACAGACAAACCTCTTGTTCCGGAAAATTGAACAGGACCCTGGATGTCAAATAAAATTAAAGGGAGGTTATTGTATATATGAAAAACTACAGGGATATCTCCAGTGTTTTGCCGAAAGTGGGACAGGGTTCCTTAAGACCTTCCAAGAGCCCAAGTTGTGATTATGTGACCGTACCTGTCTGAGTACTGAGGCCTCATCACCCGACTCTGTGCTGAAGCAGTGGTTTACTCCATCTGAGTAGTGAAGTAAAAATTCTGGGTGGTCTGCTAAGTGCTTCTCTGCACTCACCAGGACCCTGGCCTCGTCTAGGTACTTCATTCCTTTCCGTTTTACACCTGTACTAGCATCACCCCTGTTGAAAAGTAAACACAATTGAAAAATAAACAAGAAGCCCAATGGGCCTGCATCACTCACCTGGTATTAATCTCACACTTGTAATCTTAAAAGTGGACTAAAATACAGCCACAGGCAAAATATCAGTGTTTCATTCATAAGAACCTATTAAAAGATTTAAACTTATGTCACCTGTGACCTTGAATGTTGAACGAGGACATTATAATATTAGGTTGAACAGAGTTTATAGTCTTCCAACCCAGCATGCTTCTGGAAAAATATCATTACCCTTGACCTTTTGGTTATACGGAACAAATCATTTAAAGATTTAAACATATATTGACCACTGTGACCTTGAATATGGCCGAAGGTCATTCATTTGGTAGTCCTTCATCCCAGCATGTTAATGGCCAAATATCATCACCCTTGGCGTTTTGCTTATTAAGAAGAAGTCATTCAATGGTTTTAAACATATTTGACCCCTGTGACCTTAAAATATATATGTCAAGGTCAATAATTTGAACTTGGTAGTCCTTCATCCCAGCATGGTACTGGCATTATCCTATGCCTCTTGGTTATTCAGAAGAAGTTGTTTAAAGGTTTAGAACATATTTGACCCCTGTGACCTTGAACAAAGATGAAGGTCATTCATTTGAACAAACTTTATAGCCCTTCATCCTAGCATGCTACTAGCCAAACATCATCACCCTAGGCCTATTGGTTATTCAGAAGAAGTTGTTTAAATGTTTAAAACATATTTGCCTTCTGTGACCTTGAAAGTGGGTCAAGGTCATTAATTTGAACAAACTTGGTAGCCCACCATCCAAGTGTATTACTGCCCAAATGTCATCACCCTAGGCCTCTCGGTTATTCAGAAAAAGTTGTGTAAAGGTTTTAAACATATTTGACCCCTGTGACCTTGAAAGTGGGCAATGTTATTTATTTGAACAAACTTGGTAGCCCTTCATTCCAGCATGCTTCTGGCCAAATATCATCACCCTAGGCCTTTTGGTTACTGAGAAGAAGTTGTTTAAAGTAAAAGGTTGACCCCGGACGGACGCCGGACAACGGACGACAACGGACGACGGACGCCGCACCATGCCATAAGCTCACTTGGACCTTCGGGCCAGGTGAGCTAATAAATGTTTTTGTTAAACTCAAACTGGAGCTCCTTTGTCCAGAGGGGGAAAAATTGAGTACGTACATGTATATCTGGAACGGTGCTTTATCTTATACCAACAGACGCTCAAAACCCAGTACATAAAATATGTTAGTATGAACACACATTTAATAACACCTAACAGAAATCTGATTGGTTGTACAGTAGGTTTCTCTTGTTTCAAATGGGATGTTTAAGTGCATTCAAGTGAAACAGAATTGTTAGGGTCGGAGGTAAATTTTAGTTTTGTCTAGATTCAAAACACACATATTTTAATTTTAGCTTCATGGCTATTCCATAGTTTATTGTATTGGGAGGTTGGACTTGTATTAATATATTATGGGTGGTGGGGTTAAAGCCAGATCTACTTTTCTTTCTTATATTAAATCCGTCTCTGAAAGTGTGTCTTTCCCTCCCTTACTGTGAATTCTGGAACAGCCGTATAAACAGATCAGAATTATGATACTTGTCACAAAGGTAAAAAGTAAAAAGTAAAAGTCAATGTGTTTTGTTCTAAAATAAATATATGATATAAAAAAATACAATTCTACTTAACTGACTTTTTAATTTTATTAAAATATTAATATCTACTGCTTTATTCTAACATGTACATTTGAAGTTACCATTTAACAAAGTGTACAGATTTTATTGAAATTATCTCCCTTTAATTAGTATTGAAAGGAATGAGAAAAGATACCTTCATTGAAATTGTTTTCCTTAAATTGAACAACTAACAACATGAAAACCAAATTCCTTAATTACTTCATCCACAATGTCAAAATGACAAAGGAATATATTGGAATATGCTGTTTTTCTCTCAGATTTCTTCAAAACATTTGAAGAAAAATTGATATATTCAACATTAGCCAGCTTCACAAGGTAAGTTGTTAGAAAACCTATCAACTACCTACTGCTTACATTGTGAAGCTGGTTGAAGTTGAGTACACCTCCACCTGATAAGTTTGATATAAATCACTGAGTGGACATCCGACAATTACCACTGGAATCAATTTTCTCTCATTTCCCTGTGTGTAAGATAGAGCTGTCCAGGGTAAGAAAGGGGTGTAGGGAATTTCTATCTTACACCCCATTTCACGTGACGTGATGTCACAATGGCTCAACAATGACGTCACGTCAGGAATTTGGAAATCTCCGATGCCGTAATGTGAAATTAAAACCTTTTACAATATATTTACCATATACGTTAGAGAGATGTGATCAATATTTCTGCGCAAACCTTGTTTGCAAATATGGGGTATGCTTAATCTGGCTGACAGATTCGTTTTCATCTAAAAAGCTCACGAGAAAATTTTTCGTGGTTTTTGAGATATTCTGGTGGTTGGAATGAGAGAAAAATACTCTTTCATACCCAAGGGTGTAGGATAGGGAAATTCCACCCATAGGATTTTCAAATTCGACAAAACCCTCGGCTTAACCAAATTTGAAAACCCCTCGGGTAGAATTTCCCTATCCTAAACCCTTGGGCATGAAAGAGTCTTATATTCCAGCCACTACACTACTTGAGCACCATACCTACATCTCACAGGTGTTGTCTTCCTCTTCCCAATTTTGTTTTACATAATAAATATGTAATATATAGTGGAATGGCAGTGAACATTTATCGACAGTTACAGAAGATACCAAATGAAAATAGGAAACAATTAATCTGCTTATATAGTATACTGACAGAATATTGTCAGTACCCCCTGATATATAGTACATATATTATTTTATTAAATATGAATAATTTAAATAATTATAAAGCTGAATTGCACTGAGTCTTGTCCTTACCTATTTCTGAAGTAAGACAATACACCTCTTTCTAGGACAACCCAAACAGGCTTAAAACCGAGGAACCGGGATTTCTGGTGAAAACGAAAAACAAAATCAATAAAATCATGTAAAAACAGGCTGAATATCTAAACAATAATAAATAATGGGATTCTAAATAAAACGAAAATGTGCATTCTGACTGTATTAAATTCAAAGGCAAAACATATCTTGTGATTAAATCACTGAAAGGAAAAAAACATCCTAGCTTTCTTTCCCTCCTTAAGCTTGGATATCTAGCCTACTGTAGCTAGGATGAGGCTTGAACAATGGGACAAGCAGCATTGGGACTAATAGAACCTCTCATCCCCTGGGGGTGAGATAGGGGAATCTCAACCCTAGGGGGGAGATTCTTAAGTTGCCAAACACAAAGCTTTCTTCGAGGGTTGAGATTCCCCTTTCTCACCCTCAAGGGGGTGAATGATTCTTTTTCTCTAGCCCTGTTCACCCAACGTGTATCATATACATAATGTAATGTTAACGTTACAGGCTAAACTCAGGGTTGATGTGGCATTAATGGATTTTTGGCATGACGTCATTGTATTGTTGACGTGACGTCATACCATTGTAATGAATAGGGGAACACCCTCCTCTCAACCCTAGGTTGAGACTAATGGAATCTTCACCTACCTTGGGGGTGCGACAGAGAAATCTCCTACCCGAGGGGTGATGTTTTTTGGTTGTCTAATGGGTAATACAACCAAAAAATCATCCAGAGGGTTGGAGATTTCTCTGTTACACCCTTAAGGTATAGGGGATGATTATTTTTCTCCCATCCTTTTATTTCAGTCACAGCGCCACCCACAGTAGTCTGCCATGTTTGTAAACAAAAACACATGTGGGGTATGCATATCGTCATTCACTTTTGATGACGTCACAATTACCGGCGACACATTTTAATGACGTCACAATTGAACAAGTGCTAATCGGCACAAGGCTATCTCCCCCTAGGGGGTGACAAGTTGATCTTTCCCGGCTGAAACGGGAGACACACCTATGAAAGGTGGAAGAAAAGGATATCTCACACCAGTAAAAGTGTGCATACACCTGTCCAGGGTATACATATTAAAGAGAAACATAAAATCTTAACTTATATACCAGCTTATAACTATATGATCCTTGCTTTGGGAAATTATGAGAATTCTGGGATGCTTTGATATAAGATGAGACATCTTGTATCAAAATTTAAACTTCTTTTTAAAAGTTGGTGGGAAATGAATGAAAAATGGAGTGTTTTCTCCAAGGTTAGATTGGGATTACGAGATTTATTGCCTGACCAGTTTCATGAATATTGTGTAAGTCTTCAGATGTATATGTGTGTAGTATGCCTTGCTCTTCACTTGTACATATAATGCACAGTGTGGCATAGATGGCCCACGGTTCGAAGTCAGAGTATCTAGGAATCACCAAATCAATATCCCCTGTGTGCTTGAATACGAGTATCAAGAGTCCCAAGCTTCCAACTGATTGTTATTAAAAAAAAAGTTAACACTCTGTAGAAAGCAAAATGGTGGAAAATAACCGCGGTGTGGTTGCAGGTCCGTAGAATTGTCAGCCAATGATGTTTACAGCCTCATAAATACAACTCATCATTAAAACAAATTTTTGAAATGCAAATTTTGAGAAATATCTAAAAATTCACCAATATTGTGTTTTTGTCCACAGATGATCATGTTGAATCCCTATATCATTTAAGTTAAGTTTTGAATTTCAGTCTTTTTCGTGATATGTATTACATCAAACTTTGCATTGACAAATTAAATCAGCTTAATCTGGGTCCCAATATCATTCAAAGGCTGACAAACTGAAGATATCATTAACATACATTTAAAATACTATTTTGTGAAAAAGTTCTAAAAAATTATCAATTTAGTTTGCTTGTTTTCCTGTCAATGGACAATGGGTTTTTTACCCTATCTATGGAAATTTTATTTTGAATTTGCATACTTAGAATGCACACAGTATGAAATATTTATGTTAATCTGTGGTTAAGGTGACAAAGCTTTGAATACACGGGGACAGTATATGTATGATACCTTTAGTAGAAGGCCTTCACATCGCTGCGGCTGAAAGCTAAACTCCTTAACTGGCCGCACTCCTGTAAGTAGTTGCTTCATTTGATTGGTCCTTGCAAAGTCTATAGCTGTCTGGTCTGCAAAAGGAAGAGAATAATCATAGCAGGTAACATCAAAGTTTTACTTTATACACAAACAATGTATGTATTAAACGTGTCGCAACGTTGCAAGACCGACTGGTCCCTTTGTCAAGCTTTGACTCATGACATGGTTATTTACATAATATACTAGGATGGGGACTTGCAATTTTCACATTACATAGAGAATAATGCATGCCTTTTCCCATATCACACTCAGTATCAACCCGAGCCTGCAATATCAGCCCAAGGGCCGAAGGCTTATATTGGTCAAGGGTTGATACTGGGAGTGATATGGAAAAAGTCATATTTTATTCTGTTTATTACATACTTACTAATAAAAGCTACTATTTTATGATCTAATTTTCTTTTGAAAGATTGAAAAACAAAAAGTTTCCAAAAGGGGTGTGATACAGGTTTTGCGGGCTGATAGGGGTTTTGGGGTGTGATACGGCGGGGGCTGATACGGCTTTTAGGGTGTGATTCGGCGAGGGCTGATATGGGTTAGAGCAATTGTGTCGTATCGCATATACAAAAAAAAACGTATTTATTATTAAGTATGTAATAAATACAAGTATTGTCAGATTTACAAGAAATACATTTTTTTTTTATCTTTTGTAGTGTACGCATAAAAAAAACTTTTTTCTTCAATTTTTTTTTTTTTTTACTTCATTGTATTTTGCAGACTTTATAACTGATTTGGACTAAAAATCTAAATGAAAAAAAAATCAGAAACTAGTATAAAATTTAAAATCTGATACTTATGCATATACATCAATGCAGAGATTAATGTTACATTTATTTAGCTGTATGTGATAATCCAAGATGTGTCCTTTTTAGGTTTTGAGTTAAGATTGCTATGGACAGTCTGAAAATATAACTGATCACACCAATGCATCTTAACACAAACCTCAGTCTAACAGACAGAACAAAAAAAATTATCTCAAAAATTGCATATAAACAACCCATAACAGCATATATATGCATATATGTAAGTAATAAGTATATATCTACTTATCACATACTGTACTGTGTTATCCAGTGAATATACCCATGTCATATTTTTTTCTGTATCAACCAATGTAATATGACCTATCAGCCATGTGATTGGTTTTAAGTTTTAATTGTTTCACTTGTGACGTCAAGCCGAGGACAAGTACATGACGTCAAAGACTTTCGCACTGGAGTCAAAATGATGTCTGTTTACATTTCAAGGTTGCATGAAAATTGTCGTTTTACACAAATAAAGGACACAAATCTTGATTATGTGATAAAAAGGATCTTACACACGTTTTCATTTCATATGAAATTTATGAAACTCGTCACAAATTTTTCATTTTAACTCGCCAGAGGCTCGCCAAATTGAAAAAATTCTAAGACTTCATAAATCTCATATGAAATGGAAACTCATGTAAGATCCTATATATGTATAGTGTGTTAGCAAACATATACTTGATTTCTTGAAACTTATATCGCAATGTGTCAGGAAACTAGCTGTGCCCCAAAACACAAAATGCAACTTAAATACCCTTCAAGTTTTTTAAGGAGGAGTCAACACTGTTTTGGAGGAGGAAGATGACCATGTCCCGGTGGTCAGCCTGCGCGGCAATGTGGAGAGCAGTATTTCCGTACTGGTCAGTGGTGTTGATGTTAGGTGGACGGTCACTGGCCAGCTGTTAATACAACAAAAAGATATTGATTAAAAAACCCAGATTTAAGCAATCGAGAAAAAATAGCATACAACAAAAAATTTAATTTAAGGAACCCTGTCCCACTGCAGTGTGTTTTTTCATATATACCATAACCTCCCCTTTAATTCTTTTTGGCTAAATAACTGTGTCAGTTTGGCTTGACCACTTCTGAAGACCTGGGCCCGTATTCATGAAGCCGTTCTCATGCTGAAGCATGGATTTTGTGCTCAAGCCTAATTTCTTGTTCTGGTTATAACTCAATAAATAAATCTTATTTTGTCAATGATTTGGAAACATTTTAAAGAGACTTATATATAGCCAAATACTGTTTTCAATGTTTACATTTGACTTTTTGAACGTTTGACATAATCTAAGCGTTTTACAAGAATGTTGGTTTGAGCACAGATTCCATGCTTGAGCATGAGAACGGTTTCATGACTACGGGCCCAGGGTACCTCAATCGGTTAGAGTACTGATAGTATAACAATCTGAAGTCCAGGGTTCAAATCCCAGTTTAGCCCAGCATAAATTTTACACTCTGAACACCGTTGTTGATTTATGATTTGTTTACGGGAGGCACGGTAGTCTAGTGGTAGGACACCGGGCTCGCAACTCGTCACGGCAATGTGTTGTATTTTTGAGCAAGATATACTTTACTCCGCTTGCTCCAGTCTACTCAGCTGTAAATGAGTATGTGGTTGGGCAGTGCTAGAATTGTTGAATGAAAGCTGTAAGCGCCGAAATGGCAGCACCAGCTGTATGCTCCCTAGGGAGTTGAGAAAGATATTAGGCTGGTTGCAAAGGCCCTATAACCACGGATAATAATTTGTGAACCACTTTGAGACAACCTACGAACTAGGTTGTGATAAAGCGATATATAAGAACCTCAAATTATTATTATTATTATTTACCAGGTATTTCATATATATAATTTCGCATAAAAGTCCCACAAATTAAAGTATGGTTTTCTTATCTGAAATGATTTTTCAAAGTGAATGTCATGCTGGATTTTGATAACCACTAATATAACTGGTTTGTTGAAGTGAAATGCAGAAAAATGAGCACAAGTTGATCTATTTAAAGCTAGGTCATGTTGTTTATTTCAATCCGTTCTTGAGTTTAGATTTAAATATTGATTAACTGATGATTCCTGTTAGACTGAATTGGTTTGTAACGGCAATAGAACGTGAGTTATTGCAGGTGATCGACAATAACATTAATTGAGGACAGATATACAAACTAATCAGTCAATTATTACACAAAAATACAAACTTCAAAAGAAACACAATGTGAAACATCTTTAAGGATAAATATATGCTGCCTTATAGCTTACTGTGATATTCACATGGAGACTTAGGAATATATGCTACACTGTACCTTACAGTGACATTGAGACCTCAGGATGTAAGCTACCTTTAATAATGTGATATGAGACTAAAGGGTGCATGTTATAATATTGTGATATGAAGACCTAGAAAGAATGTATGCTACCTCACTGTGACATGGAGACTTAAGGGTGTAACGTAACTTACTGTGATATTGAGACTTAAGGGTGTATGCTACCTTACTGTATCATAGAGTTTTTAGGATGCATGCTTGTGACATGGAGACTTAATTAAGTATGTACAATATATGTTACCTTACTGAGACATGGAGACTTAAGGATGTATGCTACCTTACTGTGACATGATGACTTAAGGGTTTATGCTACCTTACTGTGACATGATGACTTAAGGATGTATGCTACCTTACTGTGACATGAAGACTTAAGGGTTTATGCTACCTTACTGTGAAATGAAGACTTAAGGGTGTATGCTACCTTACTGTGACATTGAGACAAGGATGTATGCTACCTTTCTGTGACATTGAGACTTAAGGGTATATGCTACCTTACTGTGACATGCAGACTTAAGGATGTATGCTACCTTACTGGGACATCGAGACTTCAGGGTATATGCTCCCTTACTGTGAAATGAAGACTTAATGGGGTATGCTACCTTACTGTGACATGGAGACTTAAGGGGATATGCTACCTTACTGCGACATGGAGACTTAAGGGTATATGCTACCTTACTGTGAAATGAAGACTTAAGGGTGTATGCTACCTTACTGTGACATCGAGACTTCAGGATGTATGCTACCTTACTGTGACATCGAGACTTCAGGGTATATGCTACCTTACTGTGACATGCAGACTTAAGGATGTATGCTACCTTACTGTGACATGCAGACTTAAGGATGTATGCTACCTTACTGTGACATGCAGACTTAAGGGTATATGCTACCTTACTGCAACATGGAGACTTAAGGGTATATGCTACCTTACTGCGACATGGAGACTTAAGGGTATATGCTACCTTACTGTGACATGGAGACTTAAGGGATATGCTACCTTAAAATAACATGATGACTCATGGATATCAGTTTCAAACTTACAAGCTCCTGTACAGAATCAACATCCCCAGACCTAGCAGCAGCTAGAAACTCTGTCTGACGTCGTAAACTTTCGTGGCTCAGGGCAGCTAATAAATGTAGAAAAAGTGTGCAACTCAAAATTCTTATAAGATAGGATCGCAGCTTCGATTCATCTTACATACATTGATCATTCTAACATAGGCTGTATTCATTTATACCATACATTGCTTTCTGAATATTTGAATTACTCAAGACTTTTAGAATAAGATGAATACTAATTGATTTCATATTTGATCATATTTCTTTCTAGAAACCATGTGTTCTCCTCCTTCAATTTAAAGCTTTGCTCTAGCCTACTTCAAACATGATGAAAAAGCAGGTGTGATACTGATTTATAATCAAAGTACTGAAAACATGGTTACTGGATTACTGGGTTGCAAAACTACCATACAAAACAGAAAAAATTGTCAGATATTTTTCTTAAATTGTAATTTAACTTGATAAACTGTATAGGCGTAATTCAGACCTCGAAAACAAAATAAAAAACCATCTTTAAATAAGGAACATATTTCTCAAACAGTTCTTCATGAATTTTTCGAAAACCCACTATGAACATTTTGTCAGATTTTTAGTGAATGGATAACTCAACAACAAGAAATGATAGGTAGTTGTTTTGTTTTTCTAGCAAGCATGACGCCAATCCAATAACTATGCCTAAATCGAAAGAGTTGGCAGTTATGCCAGTATATAACTCACCCTCGAGTAGGTCTTTGATTTCCTGTGTTTTCCCGATCATCTGTGGTGTTTGACCTTCATCGTTTATCTTCCCCACATCGGCTTCACTTCTCAACAATAGGGTCAGAGTTTCCTGTAAATTTCAAAGTTATTTTATTCTCTGCGTTTGTCAGAACCATTATAACTCTGTCCTTTTAAACATTTCACAACCGACAAAGATTACAAATGTTCAATTTTGATTTCTTTACTGTAAATTTCATTTCAGAGTGGCAGATTTTAGTTTTACAAAGGATTAAAGGTCACTTTCTAATTCTTCGTTCTAGAGGGAGTTTCCCTTAAGCTCAGTGTTAGAGTGACTAACTAGGAAGTCTGGGATTGCAGGTTTCGATCCCTGGTTGGAGCACACTCTCTTTCCTGTTACAACAGTCTAGTATGCATATTGTTGACTAGATATTTTGATGTGATGAATGAGGGAGTTTCAAGGGAAATTTGTCATTGGTCAACATGAGGGAGTTTCAAGGGAGATCGGTCATTGATCAACATGAGGGAGTTTCAAGGGAGATCGGTCATTGGTCAAAATGAGGGAGTTTCAAGGGAGATTGGTCATTGGTCAAAATGAGAATGTTTCAAGGGAGATTGGTCATTGGTCAACATGAGGGAGTTTCAGGGGAGATCGGTCATTGGTCAAAATGAGGGAGTTTCAAAGGAGATTGGTCATTGGTCAGCATGAGGGAGTTTCAAGGAAGATTGGTAATTGGTCAAAATGAGGGAGTTTCAAGTGAGATTGGTCATTTGTCAAAATGAGGGAGTTTCAAGGAAGATTGGTCATTGGTCAAATTGAGGGAGTTTCAAAGGGAGATTGGTAATTAGGCAAAATGAGGGAGTTTCAAGGGAGATTGGTCATTGGTCAAATTGAAGGAGTTTCAAGGGAGATTGGTCATTGGTCAGAATGAGGGAGAATTAGCTAAAATTAGAAAACTGCTAAAATATGTACATTTACAGTATTCTCTAAGGAACTTGAAACTTGCACAAGACTTTGGACTTGAAATATACAGGTGTTGAATTCTGTAATTATGACATAATGTACTGTGTTATCCAGTGAATATACCCTTGTCATATCTTTTTGCATATTAACCCATGTAATATGACCTATCAGCCCTGTGATTGGTTGTAAGTTTCAATTGTTTCAATTATGACTTCACGCCTAGGACAAGTACATGACATCACTGCTGACTAACGCACTGGAGTCAAAATGGCGGCTTTTTACATTTCAAGGTTGCATGAAAATTGTCGTTTTACACAAATAAATGCCACAAATCTTGTTTATGTGACAAAAAGAAACTAACACTCATTTTCATTTCATGAAATTTATGAAACCCGTGACAATTTTTTTATTTTAGCTCGCCATTGAAAAATTCTAAGACTTGTTTCATAAATCTCATATAAAATGGAAACTCCTGTAAGATCCTTTAGATATCCCTTGGATGACTACAGTGACACTAGGGATGGCTAATGCCCTCACCATCCTGCCTGTGAATGCTGCCTTGTGTAGGGGAGTATCACCATTCGGGTTCACCACGTTTACGTCTGCCCCATTCTACAAAATAGGATGAAAGGTTGAATTTTTATCACAAAAATGAGAGTAAAATATTCAAAACAGAGCAATTAAAACTAGTTAAGATAGCAAAAACAAAAATTAGTGTCGATTTGTTGTGGTCACTTTGCCTTTTCGACAACAATTGTACAAAACCAATAAATGTCAGCCAATCAGAGGCCATGACATTTATTTTGAATCACATAACTTAAAAGCTATGCCAATTAAAAGTCAGACAACTATCTAGTAAGTCAGATCTGCAAGTGCTCATCAATATCCATCAATTTTATTAGAATCTGGCCTTATTCATAGTTTCGAGGAAAATATGAAAATTTTTACGGCAGAAGAATAAGTCAAAAAAGAAATACAAGTGTATCTGCAAGACATTGGACCCCTTTTCTATACTGAAAATCTAATTAAGCAACATCATTGAGGTCAAAGGTTACAGTTATAAAGATACCAGGCAAAACAACCGGCTTAATTCTTAGAGGCACATAATTATAATATAAGCATAGGAGGTTTTGTAACCCTAACTACGGTACTAAGTCCATAAATGACCTCATGAAAAATTTACCAAGGTCACAGAGGTCAAGTTACTTTGGCAAGGTCAGAAAGAACTTGAGGTGAGAAGAATTCTCGCTGGTTATATTTCCTTCCCAGATTAAACCTTCAGAGTACTGATAATACACTAAACCCTTATACACTAAACCCTTATACACTAAACCCTTATTGCACCATTATTTGTCCAGGGAAAGTTTGGCATTATAAAGGGGTTTCGTGACATACAGCATTATAAAGGGGTTTGGTGACATACAGCATTATAAAGAGGTTTGATGACATACAGCATTATAAAGGGGTTTGATGAGATACAGCATTATAAAGGGGTTTGGTGACAAACAGCATTATAAAGGGGTTTGGTGGCATACAGCATTATAAAGAGGTTTGATGACATACAGCATTATAAAGGGGTTTGGTGACATTCAGCATTATAAAGGGGTTTGGTGACATACGGCATTATAAAGGGGTTTGATGACATTCAGCATTAAAAAGGCGTTTGATGACATACAGCATTATAAAGGGGTTTAGTGACATACAAAAGAATTGTTATAAAATAGGATAAAGGGACATTGAAACATGCCGGTAGAAAAGGAGGTGGCAATGCTGATACAATTTACAAGGGGCTGTGTTCTAACAAGTTACTACATGTACAATATATAACTAATAGGTACCTCAAGTAACACTCTGACCACTCCTGTATGGCCAAAGTATGTCGCTAAGTGCAGGGCTGTCCAGCCTCTGTTGGCTTTGCTGTTTCCTTCAAAAAGAAAAGTAATTTGATCTTTTAATTAAATATTTTAATTTTCTTAGTTAATAAGAAATAACTGTATATCTGGTATTAACTGGGTTTTTTTTGCTCAGGAAAATAATTCCTATAACATGACCTGCATCACAAATAAAAATCCTAATAAAAGGTTGGTTTTCAAATGTAAAATCAAATCAAACAACCAAATCATAGCCACCGGTGTCTTTAAAGTGATTAACAATAATAACATGAGTGTTTTCAAAACATTATCTTTATTGATCTTAATAATAACATTGTTGTTATTAAAAGGTGTCTGTCTCTTTAATGTAAATTGCAAATATTTATATCGTCACTAGGAAAAAGTTGACAACAAATTGTTCCCTACCAAAACAACTTTTTTTTTAATTAAACATAACAGGGTTGCTTAACCCTTTCACCACTATAGACCATAATGAACTCATCCATATCAATGCATGGTAGAGTCTACTAAAGTTACATAGGGGTGAAAGGGTTAATAATGAATCATACAAGGGAGAGGAGAAATATTACCTGTGCAATTAAGATCCAGAACTGTTTCTCCATTAATTTGCTGCTGAACCAGTCTTTGAACTACTTCTAGGTCACCATTTCTGGCACTAAGCAACAACAGCTCCTCTTCCGAAACCTCATTCTCCTCAATATCTTCTTCTAAAGCATTATTATCAAATTTTCTATCCTCATGTGTTTTGGAATTGTCATATTGTTTATCTTCCATTTCTTGAGAATTGTCATCATTTTTATCCTTCGTTGTTTCAGAATTGTCCTCCACTTGCACGATGTCCTTGAATGTTTGTTCGTCGCTACGGAAGTCATTGTTGTCTTCGTGATCAGAGTGGAACGTCTCTGGATCTGACTCTGCCATCTTTAGAGTCTACGTATGGTTATTTCTACGTTCAAAAGAACAAACAGTTAATTAGTTTCAAAATACCATTAAAATCTTGGTCCCATCAACTTCTACTTAATTTAATAGTTTCACTGATTATGACAGTGTGAATTAGGGGATAACCCTACTTTATTTTGAAATTTGCGGCGGTATATTGTGATTATACTGTCCCAAATTGAGTTTCAGTAAAACAGATATTTGTCACAGTATTATCAAGATATACAGACGCAAATTTTAAAATACAGTAGGGTTATCCCCATTCTAATCCATATCAGCCATAACCACCAAAAGAAACGACATTTTTAAGATATTTTTGAGTGTTTTCTTCCACTCTACCCCAGATTGGCGGCGTTAGGAATATTCAAAGCAAATCAGAATTAAATTGACCTTTCGGGGTCACGCTTTTGGTCGTGACGTCATGAATAATCAATTTCATGACGTGTCAGGGTCAGTCGGGGTCATTGACATCATTAATAATTGCCATCTGAGAAATTTGTGGATAATATATTGTGGTTATACTGTCGGAAATTATTTTGATTGACCAATCAAATGTTGTTTTTCATCTCAAATAAATTAGAATATATTATATTTCCTGTACTTGTGATATATCACTGACTTAAGTCTTAATTTAATGTTTTCAAAAACTTTCTTATATTTTATATGACACACAGTCTGATCAATGTATGTGTTGTAACAACAATAAAATCACTAAAGACACTTTATAAAACTGTCATCTCTCAGTGTCTTTTTTGTCATTGAAATTCCAAAATAACCCACTTAAGTCTTTTAAAGTCTTTTTTATGGGGTGATGTTATCCGCTATTGAATCCCTTGTAATTAAGTATAATTTAACGAACACAAACTTTTTATGATATTTATTTTAATAAAAAAAAAATGTGTAATAATGGATTAACTGTATGAGGAATTAATTGGTGTGTTGATTACATTAACAGTAGGCTCCTGTCAAAACAAACATATTATCTAGGTCATCATCATAATATCCCGATTAGAATAACAAAACTCAAACATTTAGAAATATATATCATGAGCATTTATCTTTGTCATGTATGAACAGTGCATGATACATGTATTAACAGATAGCTGAACTGGGTCAACTACATTTTACTGTAGATAGCTTAAGAATTTGTCTACAATGTAGGCCAAAACAGGGGAGAGAAAAAATGCACAGCCAGACTGGGATTCAAACCTGGGACCTCCAAACTATTGTCAAACGCTTTAAAAAATCTGAGCTACCTCGTTGCTTGCAATCAACAGAGTCCAGTTACACTACATTCCTCCCTCTATTTTCTATAAAGTCTTCGCCCCCTAAGACAACAATATTTACCCCCAGGGTTTGTGTATCCCCTTGTCAAGTGTACATTGAACATACAGCGCTGTATGCTTATAACAAGGGTTGGTCACAAGCACCCCTTTAACTGGAGAGAGTAAAAATGCATTGCCACACCAGGATTCAAACCCATGACCTCCGAACCCTAGAAGATCTAACCAACTGAGCTACCTGGTCGCCGGCAATTGATCCAGTCCAGTTCTGCTACAGGTATACATATATATAGTATATATATGTCAATGAGTTTTGGTTTGTATCCAAGTCTATAGATAAAGTCTAGGGTTCAAACCTTTGACCTGCACTAGCTCTGGTCAATTTGATTGAGTCCAGTTGTTCTGTACCATTTGCAATCTCTACCAGTCAACCACACCCTGAAAATTCCAGGGGTTATGCCCACTATCAATATGCTCACTTTTGATTTCAGGTACAAAAAACGAAACATGCTACACTGATACTTGTCCTTTGAAGACTACAGATGAGTGTCACTGGACTTCAAAGCCGATTTTATGTAATGCTGCCACACTATTCCTACGCATATCATTCACAAGGTGACTCATACAGAGACCTTTGATATTTTCATTTCATGTTCTAGGAGTTCAGAAAACATTTACAATTAAACGTGACCCCTGGAATTCTGAAAATGCCCAAACCAATTTTTTGTTCACCCATACCAAGGATTTATGTTGTTCTAAAGCATAGATTTGTACTGAGGTGCATGCATGCTGTCGAAATCATCATTTCTCAAAAGTTTATTGTGATGTGAGTAAACAACCAATTGACAGTTGCCATTGAATTGACATATCAGTGTACGACTTTTATGTATGACTAGTAGATATGTATTAATATATTTATCTAGTCCTTAATTGGACTACCAAGCTAAAATAGTGCATGGCTTACCCTGATTAAATCCGTATGTTTTTATTACATATTTGCTGTTACTCTGAATACATGATGTAACATCCCATGTGCTCGCTACAAATTTCGAAAATACACATACTATAACAGGGGCTCGGTTTCGGGATAATTTCAGTTAATAATAAACCTAAACACACCAATGAATAACAGCAACACTTTGTATCCAGTGTTTATACACATTCTAAATCCTTATACAAATGGAGGGTACCGACTATTATTTACTGGTGTGCATAGGTATATTATTAACCGAAAGTATTCCGAAACCGAGCCCCTGTGATACTGATATGGGATATAAGTGTGCTGTGGCCCATATCAATAAACCACATGTGTATTTTAGACATTTGCAACGACCACTATGGCTAATATGGGGAAGACCGGATGAGGAAATCTGATTTTTTGTTTGTAGATTTTCCTCCACTGATCTCCTGCAAAACAGCACTGTGTGCATGTGATCATGATCACCGGTCAAGAGGTCCAGAGGCATTATTTATATTATGTGCAGATCAAACTTGTATGACTTAACAGACGTTTTGGTGAATGGTGTTAGGGTAGAAAGAAACAACACATACCGTAAATTATCAGATGCATTTTCCATCTATTCACGTATCAATGTGAATTGGCCTTGGATACAACCGGAAAAGCTGAATCACAATCATAACCCGTGACGAACAAAAACTCCCCGTCGAAAAAAAACAAGTATTTCGTTGAAATCCGATGTTTTCATAACAATTTGAGTTACAAATACAAGTTTTTATTAGGAATTAGTTCCATTTTCCTTCCATCGTGAACATAAACATATTTAAAACCAGTAAAGTCCGGTAAACGCCTCTATCCATGTTATGATATTAGGCCTACGTTATGTATAAAACAGGAAGTGCAATAAGGGAGACAACTCTTAACTGACCTCTTACTTTCGTTTTGACTAGAGACGGATCAAAACATCCATGATTTTAAATCGATTTTCTATTAGATGACGTATACTTGTTTATTTTAACTGAAATATAGAAAGTAAATTAACAGTGTTTCGTAAACAACATCTCGAGCCACCTTTAAATAATGACAAATAAAAGATTGTCATTTTAATAGGTATTTTATAGGAAGGGTGATGTATATATAAAACTGATTGTCTCGCTTTGTCTTTTAAAGTCTATCTCGGATTAACTCATTCACCCTTGATGACACATTTGAACTCTTCCAATTTCAAAAGTTGGGGTAATTCATTATGAAATTTCATGGGTAAATGAGTAAACTGACTAATTGTAATTTCTTTAGTTTTTAACAATATCATTCCTATGCTCGCTTCATATTAACTAATGCCCACAAAGAATATAATTAATTGAAATCTGACAAAGTTAGTTCAACATGAAGTATCTTTTTTATTGAAATACATGACAGCATCTTTTCTTAATTACTATTGCAATATCACTCCTGCTAAAGAAGTATGCATGCTTTTCAATAAATACAAATCTCAGAAAACAGCCAAAAATTGGGAAGCATACAGGGTGCAGAGAAACTTGGTTATTAAGATTAAACGTCAGTCAATAAGAAATTATATTCTTGAAAGATGTGGAGGAGGTCCTTACTCTAAGGATTTTTGGCCAACTGTAAAGCCCTTCATTTCTAACAAATGTAAACATGATTTAAATACAGTTTTGAAAGAAAATGACAGCATCATTACTATTCAGAGAGATGTTTGTACAGTGTTTAATGATTATTTTTGTAATGTGGCCATAAACATAGGTACAGAGGTGGACGGAATCTCTGACCACTCATCTCACCCTAGGAGTAGCATACAGATTATCAAAAATGAAATTTTAACCGAACCAAAATATTTTACTTTTAAAACTGTACTTCCAAAAAATATTAAAGATGTGATAAGTAAGCAGGATACAAAGAAATATGTCGGTGTTGATGGTATCTCTGCAAAAATGTTGAAAGCTGACTCTGAATCTTACAAATATTTTTGACTTTTGCATTTCTAAAGGAAGATTTCCACACTCACTTTAACTAGCCCAGGTCATGCCTATCTTCAAAAAGAAAGATCCATTAAACAAGGAAAACTATAGACCTGTGAGTGTTCTTCCCACAATCTCAAAGGACTTTGAGAAGATAATGCATAACCAGCTTAATGAGTTTTTAATGATATTTTTAACCCCTTCCTGGCCGCCTTCAGACGGGGCTATGGGTGTCAGTCTGTCCTGCTGCGACTCCTGGAGGATTGGCGTCAGGCCTTGGACAACCACAAGCACATAGGAGCTACCCTAATGGACTTGTCCAAGGCTTTTGACTGCCTCCCCTATGGTCTGTTGTTGCGGAAGTTGCAAGCCTATGGGCTTGAATCAGTCAGCAGTTGAACTTGCCAGTAGTTACCTTAGGGACAGACAGCAGCGGGTCAGGCTTGACCCATGGTCAGCGACTGGGGGTGGCTCAGTAAGGGGGTCCCCCAAGGCTCTATAGTGGGGCCTCTTATTTTTAATGTATTTATGAATGATATGTTTACTGTCTTAAAACGTGGGTCTCTTTTTAACTATGCTGACGACAACACTTTGTCTCATATCACTGATAGTGCTCTTGATCTTAGTGATGTGTTACAAAGTGAAAGTAATTTATTAATTAACTGGTTCACAAAGAATGGCATGCAGGCAAACCCAGAAAAAATCCAGGCAATCTGCATAGGAAAGAAATCTAAAGAGCAAATTTCATCTTTCACTATTGGAGATCACCAAATTACATGTACAGATAGTGTGACTTTGCTTGGGTTTGAAATTGACAGTGATCTAAAATTTGAAAATCATATAGCAAACTTATGTAGGAAGGCTTCCAAACAACTATGTATACTCAAGAGAATTGGAAATCACCTGACAAAAAAAGCCAAAGTCACCATTTTTAAATCTTTCATTTTATCTAATTTTAATTTTTGTCCTCTCTCATGGCATTTTTGCAGTATCAGAAATACCAGAAAAATCGAAAAGATACAAGAAAGACCTTTACGTTTTATTGATAATGATTATAGCTCCTCTATTAAAGATCTTTTAGTTAGAAATAAATTAGAATTTTACATATATGTGGGCTGAATACCATGGCCAAGGAAGTATACAAGATTTTAAATAATATTGGTCCAGAATTCTTAAAGAGTATTATCAACAAAAACGAAGTTTTATATAATTTTAGGAACGTTGACACTGTGACTACACCAAGAGTAAATTCTACCACATATGGCAAGAAATCATTTCGTTTTGAAGCCGTCCAGGTGTAGAATGGCCTACCAAATGAGGTTAGACAAGCAGAAAACTACAAGGTTTTCTGTAGAATGTTGCACACCTGGGAAGGTGACCTCTGCCAGTGTTCTATATGTTCGTGACTTTCATCTTATTGATCCCCCATTTTTATTTGAGATTTTTGCTTTCATTTTGCTTCTTACTTTACTTTAATTTATCTGAGTATTTTATTCCATCAGTTTCCAATATAAAGTATCGTAATTAACCATCTGTGATATATATGAAATATTTGCTTGCAAAATCTGATATGTTTTTATGTTTTATGATTATGATTTATGCTTATATTATAATTAGTACTGTTCCTGCTTTGAACATGCATGTGCTATCATCAAACTGTTTTCTGATTATTTTAGTAGTTCAATGTATATAGTTATGCTGCAAAATCCTACCTTTTCTACTAGCATGCCTTTTAACTTGTTATTACTCTGTTTTTATTCCTATGTTTGTCTTAAAAATAGCTCCACAGAGCTAATGTTCAATGTTATGCCATATACGACACTAAATAAAGCTTCTTGTATCTTGTATCTTGTATGTATATCCCTCAACACTATCGTAAAATCCCAGCGGACAATGTTTAATTGGTGACGCAAACAGAGAGCTATTTAACGAAGAATGCATAATAAACTTTTATTTCACAGTTGTTTGATTGTAAACTGAAACCCGGTGCCAAACTATCTTTATCAAAACAAAGGGCTTTCGGCGTTGTTAAGTAGAAACATCACTTATGAATTAATTTATTAGTTTATTTATCTTTTTTGTCGTAAATAATGCCAAACCAAACAATTTACCCAAACATCAATTCACAACAATTCTTTTTGATTAAAAAATGCTTCTTTAACACTGTAATACATACATAAGTTAAACAGTTAACGGGAACGAACTTTGTGACGAGCGAAATTGTACGTAGTCTTCTATTAAAAGAACCATTAACGAGTTGATCAATTTCCGAAAATAAACCTACGATTGAGATGGTATTGTAGCCTTTCAATTGTGCCTAGTTCATAATTATATAGCAAACAACAAATAGCTGGCATAGCTGTAAACTTCAAACATGTCGTAAATGTTAAGTCTCATTGAAAACACTTGGTGAAGTCCCGACTTCAAAAGCTACATAAAAATTTCTACTACGTCATCATATCAAATCTTGACTGTGATACTTCTATGGAAGAAACATAAAAATAAAAGAACAAAAACAAAACAAAGGCCCACAGTATTCTGGGGGTGAAAATGCGGCAGTGCCAGGCCAGGATTCGAAGACTTGACCTTTCGATCAATATAAGAGTCGCTAAACGTTGTCTACACGATTCTAGCGCGTTTGCCTGTAGTTAACAGGGATCATTTCAATAATATTTTCTCTAGGGGAAGAGACACACTGTACTAAATAAAGCTTATCTGGGTTATTACTTATAATTGTAATGATTATGATACAGTCTTTGAATTATAAATAATCTCTTTGATCGTCATCATCATCATCATCATCTTCATCATCATCATCATCACCACCACCACCACCACCATCATCATCAACATCATCATCATCATCATCGTCATCATCATTTAGTGTCTACGCTTATTACATGTAAGACGGATGGAAAGTTTTCGACGTTTGTAATGTTCATCACTGCTAATAATAGATATACGTACAGGTGATTCGTACAATTCTTAAATATAATTTAAACCAGACGAAAACCACATTTTTAAAAGAAATTATATATACCTTTTTGACAATATGGACAGGTGCTGACAATAGACAATACTTCGCCCCAACGATGGTTCCTCATATCAGGTTTCATGTCAAAAAACGTCTGGAGATACCTTTAATAATTACAATCATGGCCTTGTGTAAATGGACATGGTGTAAAGTATGAACTGTTTCAGTTCGATTTGATCCACTTAACGTTTACCCCCTAAAAATAGTCTAAAATAAAATGATTTCCATGTATAGGGTATGTGACATGTTTTATAGCATGCCTGTATAGAGTAACACTACTTGTGAATGGAACATAGGAATGCGACCTTCTAAATGGGATTTCAAAAGTACAAACACACACGTTATACACACATATATGTATGCGTGCAGTTCTATAAGCGAATTTAGAGTTAATTCCCTTTAAGCAAAATGTTTAAGTGTCGTGTGCCCTGATGAATTTTGACTGTGGATATGAAGTCTTCACGGAGAATGAAGACACACATTTCGATGGAAACTTTATGAATGGATACCACCAGGGAAATGTGTGTAGTTTTTATCCATAAGATAACATTCTTAAAATATCATATGAAAAAGAAAACCGGAGTTTACGAAAAGACACACCGAATGCCCCATTAATTGCTATGGCCGAGTAGCAAGCTCCAAGAAAAACTCCCAAAACAACGAAAATCAGCGTCCAAAATCATTTTTGTCTGTACTCAGCAAGCCTTTTTACCTATGACTGGCTTATAAACTATTAATTAATTTGCAGCAAAGAAAAGAAAGTTGAAGTTTGAAAATATCGATAAAAGATTCTAGATATTTCATCAAACAGAAAAAGGAGGTAAGTTGTCTTACTTGTTAAAAATAAATAGAAAAAAGGCGTTCGCT